CTTTAAGACTCAGTCTTAAAGTCCCCACCCCAAAATGGGAATGTTAACAACCACTTACATAAATTAAAAATAAGCAAAAATAAATGTTCATAATTGAAATGTTCTACGTAAAATGCCTAGCAGGATCCTGGCATGTAGTGTGCTGTCAATAAATATTAATTCCCTTTCTCCCTCTCTGCTCATCCCAATATAAAATGGCCCATACCTCCTTTGCTGCATGGTCCACCTTGTTCTATAGTATGTGTGCTCCTTCCTCTTCAGTTTGTAGTGCCCTTAAGGGTTAGAGGCTTAATCGTATGTGAATTATTTTACCTTTTCATCTCTGTCCCCAAACTGACTTACTTATTAGCTTAAGTACAGTGCATACTTAAGAAATAGTTGTTTTGTTGAAAGCATGAAAGAAAGCGATAAAGGAGGAAGAGACTGAAGAAAAGCCTACCTGCTCATCCACTGTGATAAAGAGATCACTTCTTGTTTACTTTTTCTAAGAAGATTAATGAGGGGGAGGGGGTATGTGGACCAGAGTTTTGTTTGTTAACCTACTTACTCTTTGTTTTACCTAATGTACAAGTGCTTAGAACAGTGCTTGGCACATATAAATACTACAATAACCTTTCACTATTATTCCCCTCTCCTAAGTGTACTTCTTTTAGTTTAGCCACTGGCAAACCACATTTTCAAATACTGTCCCTAACTGAGGCAAGTTGGAAGACCACTGAGCTTGTTTTTTTTTGGGAGGGGGACGGCGCATAGAAGGAAGGACCCACATTTGGACTGATACATAAAATTCCACCCAAATGCTGCCACCTAGTGTTCACTTCACAAAGTTAGCTGTATCTAAGCAAATTAATCCTGTCCTCCCTCTTAGCAAAGATCATTATAATACTGTTTTGTTCCTGGATCCCAGGTTTTGGCAAATTTTGGTTAGCAAAAGTGCAACAGAGCTTTTGGCAATTACGAGGTGCTAACTGAGAAATTGGAAACTTTCCTAAAATTCTAACAGAAATGATCCCATTGTGAACAGATAAAATTACAATCAAAATCAAAGAAATGAGAGATGTGGGTTATCTTGTCAATACTCATTGCTGGTACCTGTGGTTTCTGTTATAGAGGGGAGTGAGGAGAACATTACTGTTTTTTTTGAGCAGCTTTCATGCATCAGTCTCCTTTCACAGGCATAGTCTAATTAAGATCTCCCCATAACCCTCTGTGTTAATACTGCTATTCTCATTTTAAAGGTAAGAAAATAAGAGGCCTAAACCGTTTAACTTGTCATCTTTTTTGAAGTTAGTTGAGAAAATAATTAGGGTTTTTTATCCAAGTCTATCAATTTCAAACTCTATGCTTTTTCATTTGTACCCTTGTGACTGTTAAAACTTTTGGAAATCTCAGAAATAGGCCAAAAACTCTGGTTAATATTCTCACAGATTTCTACGGTGTCTTTGCTTGAGAACCATGGCACCAAAGAAACACAAAACCCTCTCCATATTAATGTCCTAGAGATAAATTGTACTGTTGAGACCTGAACCAAGATTTTAAAATATCTAAGTTAGAAACAGTAAGTACTAAGTACAAATCAACTTGCTTCATAGTAATTTAAAGGGAAAATGATCCATAAATAATAAAACATTAATCTTCCAAGAGGCACCCTGTATCTTTCAGGGAACTGAAACCAAGTAAGAGGACAGTAGAAATCTACACTGTAGAAATCATGGAAACCAGGAAGCAAAATTTTATCTAACCAAGGTAGAGGATTCACTACGTTTTGCCTCAGAGGCTGGAACTAGATAGAGCTCAATCCAAAGGGTGGAAAGTATCTGGATCACACAGGGGACACTGGTGAGAGCCAGAGCACAGGACACTAGATTCCAGAAACCAGGATGACACTTGTGGTCCGTGAGGGTGAAGGAAGGCATGTGGGAGTGCAGCCAGATACTAGGTCCAGAAAGTAGGTCCCCAGTGAGAACCTGTTTAACTTCTCTAATTTCCCCAAGAGACCCCAAAGTTGTACAGCTTTTACTTGACTCCTTTTACAGGGATTTCCTTCTTTCTCCCCCTCTGACTCTCTGTGTTTGCCTCTATTAACTTTCATGTTGACCTAACTCTCAATGTTTATCACTTTCTGAGTAGTAAAGCCTTATTCCAGAGGGAGAATATAAATCTCTGTTTTCCCGGGAGAAGTGAGGAGAATATAGATTCCTTCAGAAAACCCTGGGAGCTCTCCTGATCATCTTATAACATCTAATACATCCCTATACTCCAAGGATCCTTCCTTTGAAATATTTTGTGACTACACTTCCTTAGATTTTTACTATCACCACAATAGTTGAAAATGCATTCATCTTTTCTTGGACTTCTACAATCATCTCCTAACTGGAGACTTCATTTCTACTTGTGTCCATGTCCATCCTCCTTTTGGAGCTAGAGTGATACTGTATTATAAAAACAAAAATATGATCAAATCCTTCTCTAGCTTAGAAAACTTCTAATAATTCTCTCTACTACCAGGATGAAGTCACAATTCTTTAACATTGTCCACATAGCCTGTATGACCTGGGTTTATTTTTCCCTCCAGACTCATTTTGGGAACTTTCCTGTTTCTTCGTGATGCTGCCATAGCACTACCTTTTTTTCCATTTGCTAGAAGTCCTCAAGTTTTGTTCACCCTCAGGACCTTTGCACGTAATCCCCTCTAACCCACAAGATTCACTGCACAACTTTTCACCTAACAAATTCCTCCTTATCCTGCAGGTCTCTAATTAATTTGTGAGTTATTTGCTGATACTTACCCAAATCTACTAAACCGGTCTTTGTTTTATGCTTTCATAACACCCTGTATTTTGTCATGGCCGCACTTACCACAACTCTATATAACAGTTGTTTGGTTATTCTTGAATATCTAGCTCTTTGAGTTGAATGTGATAAAGGACTTTTATGTTCAAAGCTATAAAGCAAGCACATAGCCCAGCAAATAGCACATAGTAGGCACCCAATACAAATAATGAACATCCCTAATTATCCACATTTGTATCTTCAGTTATACACCTACGCATGTGAACACTAAAATATATAAACAAGAACAAAGGAAATTTAGCTGACTTTCTACATGCACTTTGGAAGTTGGAGATTATTCTTTGCCTACTTATCTTGCAGGAGGTGTACTCAATAGCTAAGAGACTCACTATGGTAAATTCTCTCCAAGTCTGACCCCTCAAAAAGTGGTTTATTCATACAAATAGAGCATGTCACTTATAAAGGACAGGGAAAATCAGACTGGCTTTAGCAATCTCCTTATCAAAATGTAATACTAGAAGAAAATGGAGCAACGCCTACAAAGCACACAGGTAAGAAAAAAAGTATGATGCAAGAATGTCACATTTAGCAAAGTGTCTTAAGATGTAGAAGCAAGAGACTGAAGAAAATGAATGAAATCTCAAATTTCCGTTTCCAGTTATGATGGGCTAGGTTATTGAGACTAATAAGCCCACTGATAATGACTAAAGATATTTTATAAGCTGTAAAAAATATATTCCCCCAAAGCATCAAATTGTTGACAAGAAAGTAAGGAACTATTGGGCAAAAAGCTAAGAAAAGGTGGAAACCCAAAGAAGCAAATGGGGCACAGGAGCACAAAAGCCACTCTTGCCCTCAGGACATTTTCCAGTCAGGGAACATCTAGCTTTGTTTTTTTGTTTGTTTGTTTGTTTTGTTTTTGCTGCTGCTGCTGCTGTTGTTTTAGTATCTTCACTGGGTATGGAATGAGCAGCCAAGATTCAGGGCTACCCAGGGTGAAAATGGTGGTGGTGACTTTTCCCTTACTAAGCTAAGACTCCATCAGTTATACCCTAAGGGAGGTAGGAACCAATACCCTAGAACTTCAGGAAAGGTTGCTTTTACATTGACTATAATAGAAGGAAAAAAGCAAAGCAAAAAAAAAAAAAGTCCCATTTTTGAGTAGATGTGGCCACTCGGCAGCTCTTGCTCAGATTTGTAGCCTGGGTTAGCAAGAACTCAAAGAACCTCCACCGGAGAAAACTGCTCTCAGATTAAGAAAGTCTCAAGGCACTTAGCAGGAACAAACAAAAATCCTCTTTGGAAGAAGCCACAAATACTTTTCCCACAAATAGTTTTTCAAGGTTAAAATGCAAAGACACAAAGGAACTAGACACTATGGACTATACACAACAGAAATATCAGGCAACAGAATGGAATCTAAAAATATTTCAGGCATTATAATGATCATGATACAGATTACAAAACAATTATGACCACGTTTCAAGAAATAAAACAATCAGCTACCAATTAGCAGGACACAGAAAGGACACAGAAGCATGCTGAAATGCTCCATGGAATCAGTAATATCCAGGCCGTGGGGAAACACTGTAGAGTCAAAGGCCTCAGGTTAAGGAAGAGAAAGCTTTAAATGTTTTGCGGTTAAATAGGATGCTTGGTGTATAATTTGTTTCAGATACCCTTTATCAAACTAATTTCCCTTCTACCGCTGGTTTTCCATGAGCATTTATCATAAGTGTTTGATTTAATCATTTATCCTACAATTATTTAATTATACTTTCCTCATTTATCAATTAGTATCTTGAATTTTGATGTCAAAATAACCTAACTTGCTCATAACGTGTTATTCTTATATAATACTAAATTTGGCTAATATTTTGCTCACATCTTTGGATCTACATTCATGAACAAAACTGGCATACTCTTTTCCTTCAATTTGCTGTCCCTGTGAGGTTTTTCTATCAGGGTTATATGAAGCCTCATAAAGAATTGAAGTGTTCCCTATTTTTTGCCCTCCCTTCCCCACTTTTTCTGGAAGGATTTGACTAAGATGGGAATTATGTTTTTCTCACAATGTTTGGTTTAACTTGCCAAGGAAGCCAGGGTGGCCTGGAGTCTTCTTTGTGGGAAGACTTGGGACTACTCTTTCAATTTGTGTTTTAAACTAGTTTGGCTTTCTATTTCCCCAAACGTGGACAAAGTAGTACCTCCCCAGGACGTCACCATTCCAAGGAGCTGACCGCATAAGCCACGGGCCACAGAACTGAGGAAAACTCGCACAAGATGCCGTCACTGAGGGACACGGAAGAAACGGCGTAACCACGCGGGGCGCCGCCGGCCCCGACGCCCCTTCCCCCGGAAGCCGTGTTGTGACGTCACCACGCGACAGCGTCCCCGGAGGACCTCAACGGCGCCTACTGCATTGTGGGACACGGGGATACCCTCAGGGGTTAGAGCGTCCATGCGGGCTTCTGCACGGTGCTCAATGCACCTGTTCTTCCTGCCTGCTCAGACACCTTTGCCCTTTACGAAGAGGGCATTCCCATCTCCCGGGAGCGAGAAGATGTGAGAGGATGGAGCTAGTTTATTTGCCGCTAAGGGTGAAAGAACCTGACCCGGGGCCTGAAACCAGTCAGAGGCTCACGTGACCGTCTCTCACGGAAGGCTAGTACTGCCTCCTATGGTCCCCTGCCACCGAGGGATCACGTGATCGACGGCTGACTCAGCTGCCACGTGACCGCTGCGTCGCGCGCGACTTTGCGCTGGAGCGTACTAGGTCTGGGGTCCGTGTTCCTTTGCCAGCACGGACTTTGGGCCCCTTCCCTTGGTGCTTGCGAAGCACACGATTGCCCCCTGCATTGTCACCCAAATCCCACTTCCACCATTTCTTCCTCTGGGTCCAGAGATGCGTGCCCAGCTGCCTGCCCTTCCTGGGCTCTGCGGGAGAGGGTGGTCCGGGAACTGGCGGTCAAGGGAGTCAGAACACAAGCTTTTCGCCCGCTGACACGCTGGTGATCGCCATCCCGAGGGTGGGAGGAAGGGTGCCTCAGGCGGGCGGCGCTTCTGGGGATGCGATCTTGTGTTCGATGCTCTCGAGAGCGCCGGAGCTGGAATGGGGATCGTGCGTCCTAGTGATACGTGATGTGGCCCTATCACTGTCATCTTCCCTCTCCCTTGGGACTTCCCGGGAGTGAGCCAGAGTCTCAGACGCCCTAGGGATTCCAGGAGCTTATTCTCATCCTCAGGAGAACCACCTCCTTCCTCTCTGTTAAGAGGTTTCGGGACCTTACACCACTTTCTGGATTTCTGACCATTAGCCTCTGCATTCCCCCAGGCTTAACTCTAAGCTAATCTTCCACCAGTACTGGACCTGCCCCGTGGTCTTTATGAATATATAAAGAGAAACTGACCTCGATCTTTTAGAGTTTTGGCTCCCGAGTTCAAAAAATACCTTCCTTCTTGTCCCAGAAGGGGACTCCATTGGACTCGTCAACCACTACATACTCTAGACGTTTACTACTGGACCTGGCATCTCCCATCCGCACCTCTCATGATATTTGACATATCTCTAGCTACTATATTGAAACACATGCTTCCAGAGTCTCAAAATATTTTCTTCTGGTTATTAGGCTTGCTGTTTTATTAGAGCGTACTTTTCTTTTACTACCTTGGCATTCCTAACCAAATAATGCAAACCTGGTCCTTACAAGAACATTTATTAGTAGTAAGAAGATGGTTTTAAAGATAAATTGTCTCTGCTCCATACATGTGTCTTCCCTAAAGAAACATATTTGCTCTTCCCTTAGAAGCTGGTTCTCACCAGTACTTTTTCCCTACTAAGTCAGGTATATAAGCCTCTAACTTTAACCTTGTGGTGAGCTAGTACTTCCTTAGTTAGCTCTATATACATATGAATAAACCTTTTACTCTTGGTAATGGTCTTTTGTCAGTTTAGTTCTCACATTCCCTTTCTGAATTTAAGAGGGTGAAGGAAACGTTTTTTCCTCCCCAGCAGTGGTCAAAGGGACAGCAGTTTTTCCAATGAGAAAAAAACAAAATGGGTGGTAGTGGGGATGTCAAATATTCTCCCAAAAGAAGAAATCCAAATGGATTTCTTTGGAAAAATAAATATAAAAAGCTTTTCAATCTCATAAGTATACAGAAAAATGCAAATTTAAATCACCCTTTTTATTGACAAATAGTAAGAATCTGACAATAACCAACACTGGCATGAGTAATGAGCAATAAGAACACTCAGACACTGCTGGAGAAAGTGTAAATAGATGTGACAACTTTCCAGTTTCACATTGTCTGGAAAATTGAAGATCCAGATACCGTATGACCCAGCACTTTCACTCCTAGCTATACATTGAGCCTTGTTTCTCATCTGTGGCCTATAGACCAGAAACAACAGCATCTCCCAGCAGTTTGTTACAAATATAAATTTATGGCCCCCACTGCAGACCTTATGAATCAGACTCTGAATCTTAACAGGATCTCTAAATGATTCATAAGCACCTGTACCTCAGGGTATATGGACAGAGAATGTTGCTTATGGCTCCAAACAGAAACAATCCCACTGTCTGTGAACATGAGAAGAGAAAATGGGCTATATTCACAGAATAGAAACTGTATGCCAATGAATAGGAACAAATTACAGGTAAGTTCAACATGGATAAATATCACAATGTTGAGGGAAAGAATCAAGACACAAATAAAATACATAGAGTATAAATCCATATACGTAACCCTCAATAACAGTCAAAACCAAAGTGCACTGTTAGGCATGCACATTAAGGTAATGATACCAAAAAGAGGCAGGGAAAGTAAAGCAAGAAAGTGATTCCTAAGAAAATCAGGGTGGAATTTATCTCCAGAGGAGAGAGGGTTGTGATCCTGGAGGGAGGGAGGGGGCAGTTGTGGGGTGTTTACAAAACTGGTATAGTTGTGAGTAGTGTTTAAAGGATTTTGTTTTATAATTATTTAAATGTTATAAAATGTCCTATGTAATTTTCTGTATGTGTGTTATATTTCACATTAGATAAACAAATGCTATAGACATTTCCAATTAGGAAGAAATCAGCTATTTTTACACACAAAAAACTACAGATTGAACTTCTTCCAACCAACATCCATGGATGGATGAGAAAAGCAAGAAGCAGGAAATACCAGCAAAGTAAATTGGCTCTGGGTAGATAAGGAGAAAAACCAAGGTCTCCCAGTTTCTATATTACTAAAAATAATGTCTTTTCTTTTTCTTCCCCTGGTAAAACGATCTCTATCTCTCTTGCCCATCAGGGGAATTTAGGCACAATGACCCAAGGAGTGGGTGTGCTCCAGGGAAAGAGGTGGAAGGATGCAGGGAAGTTGCAGGAACTTGCAAGGAGGCTGCAGGCCATGCCCAGAGGGGAGGGAGAGGTAGGGACAAAGGGGGCAAGGCTTGGGACTCAGACATCAAAGAAATGGCCGCTACTCCACTGAGCACAGCCTGCCTCTCTTCCTGCTTGTCTCTTTGACTTTGACCCTGAACCCTCACAGGAGTAGCAGTCCCAGAGCTCTTCTCTGGGTCAAACACTGCATAGAGTTTGGAAGCATTCTAAATGACAACAAAACAAAACAAAACAAAACAAAACAACCCCCCCAAAAAACCACAACACTGAATAGAGGGAAAGGGCGCCCCATGTTGGAACTGGTTGTCAAAGGAACACCCCCCTAATTGAGGATTTGGCCACTAGCGCACCTTCACAGGAAATCAGGTCAGGTGATGAGTCCCCAAGAAGAAAACAGTCACGTCATGTTGTGCTTCCTGTAGCACTTCACAGCTGGGTCTGACAGTGCAGTGGCCTTGACATTTCATTATTATGGCTTTGTTGGGGGTTGGTACACACATTGTTTTAGCCTAGAGAAGGTTCCTTTCTATAAAAAGTAGAATATACAAGATAACTAAGCTTCAAATTGTTGAAAATAAAACTCAAAAGAAAAACCCAGAAATTCCTAAGGATATGTCCAAACATTAACAGAAGATAATAGGAGCTGAGAAATCTTTTGATTCAAGGTTACTTCAGAATACAACTCACCATTAAGAAGGCTGGGCTTAAAATTACAATCAGGGCTCTTAAGAAAGTAGGCAAAAGGCAAATGATAATCAATTTAAGATGGACTTTAAGAAAGAAGTAGTGAAGAAATTGAAAAATATTACAACTTTTTAAGGAGATAAAACTTAAGAAATCAGTACAACTTACAGAAATAAAAAGGGTCATTAACTGCCTTACTTCATTCAGGCTGCCATGACAAAATACCACAGACTGGCTAGCTTATGGACAACAGAATTTTATTTTGCATAGTTCTGGAGGTTGGGAAGTTCAAGATCAAGGCTCCAGCATGGCTACCTGGTTCATAGCTATGCCTTCTTGCTGTGTCCTCACATATTTGAAGCAGCAGGCAAGCCCTCTGGGGTCTCTTTTATAAGAGCATTAATCCTCCACCCTCCATGTGGGCTCAACCCTTATGACCTAAGTACCTCCCAAAGGCTCTCCGTCCAAATACTATCACATCTGGCATTAGGATTTCAACATATAAGTTTTTGGGGAGACATAGACTTTCAGACCGTAGCATTAATGAAGCAAAACTCATTAAAGTGACCATCAGTGTGAACTCTGTCAAGTGCTGGGGAAAAAAATTTTAGGCTTTAGAAAGTAAAGCAATTGCTATAGAAGGTAGAGAACTAGGATGAGCTAGCCACATTGAGCTGAGTAAAACTTCTGAATGTACCTAAGAGGTCTCCCAAAGAGGACAGATCTGTTGATTACAAAGAGAATGCCACTTTTTTTTTTTATTTTTAGAGGAGGTACTGGGGATTGAACCCAGAACCTTGTGCTTGCTAAACACGCACTCTACCCCTGAGCTATATATACCCTCCCATGAGAATGCCACTTGATATGACTTCATTTGTGCTGTGGTACCCAAAATGTGCCTGCCAGAAATTGTACATTATCTGATATGTACGTCTCTGTCTTATTTCCCATGAGACTGCAGTGGTCTGAAGGGTAGAGGGTTGACCTAATCCAAATATATTTTCTAATCTCCCACCCTCAGCGACAGACTGATGCAAATACCACATTTATCAAGTAAATGCTTGATAAATACTGGAAGGCATGAATAAAAGAAAAATGGGACGAGGGTAGAGAGATTTTTAAAAAGAACAACAAACTGAAAAAACTTACAAAGAACAACATAATGAGGTCTTTAGAATTGATTCAGGAAGATTCCCTACTCCACCCCCAGTTCCACCCTTTCTATCACCATAGAGTTGAAATCATTTTGTGTTTATCGTTTTAAAAGGAAAGCAAA